ACTGAGATTTGAACATTGGCAGTCAAGCTTGATCAAGAGGCTGCATTTGCTGTGCGTCTAATAAGAACGTAGTAGGAACTGTCCTTTTAAAAAAAATGGAATTTGATTGCTGTGGTGCCAAGTAACCTAGAGGAGATGTGTGGTTTTTTTTTTCTTTTTCTTTTTTAGGAAAGATACCGTAAGCGATCTAGGAGGAGATGTGTGTTTTTATTGAGCTCAGTAATAATCTGAAACTATAGTGAGATTTAACTCCTAAATTGGCGGACTGATTAGAGATTGGGCTCCACATTTTAAGGGATTTGGGAGAGCCATGAGGACCTGCTCTCACTGTTTGAGAACTTTTTATTCTTTTGGTATTCAATTAGCAATTCTGTCATCACAGAGTTTGAAGTTTAATTATGGAGCTACATAAATATCGATAGCATAAGGTAGAAAGTGATTGAACTCGTCGGGGATACACACAGATAGAAAACAGTGTTAGAATGAAGTAACCTCAAATAGCATCTCATCCCTGCTTCTTAGAGGGTATCCATGAGCCAGCCAGCAACTTTGGCCTTACCTGGGTGGAATCTCAAGCTCTGTTTTTCTTTTTCTTTCTCTTTTTTGAGAAGGAATTTCACTCTTGTTGCCCAGGCTGGAGTGCACTGGTGCTATCTCGGCTCACTGCAACCCCTGCCTCTCGGGTTCAAGCGATTCTCCTGCCTCAGCCTCTGAAAATGCTGGGATTATAATAGGCGTGAGCTACCACGTCCGGCCTTTTGGAATCTGTATTTTAACCAGGTGATGTGTGTTTTCATTAAAACCTAGAGTCTTACTGATTTAATACCACTTGTTTTAACAGAATCAAAACATGTTCATTAGAGAGATTAATCATAACTGCTTGTACATACTAGTTTTCTTCTTCATGTACATTCTGTTCCCAAAAGATATGTATAATTTGTGGGTACTAGAAAATGATCATGTGTTCAGAATGTATTTTTTGCTCAGTCCAAGGCTAAAATTTGTCCTTTATTTTAAGCCCCCAGCCATTTATTTATTTATTTATTTATTTATTTTGAAACAGAGTCTCGCTCTGTTGCCCAGGTTGGAGTTCAGTGGCAGAATCTCAGCTCATTGCAACCTCCACCTCCCAGGCCCAGACAATTCTTGTGCCTCAGCCACTCGAGTAGCTGGGATTACAGGCATGTGCCACCACGCCTGGCTAATTTTTGTACTTTTAGTTGAGATGGGGTCTCACCATGTTAGCCAGGCTGGTCTTGAACTCCTGGCCTTGAGTGATCTGCCTGCTTTGGCCTCCCAAAATGCTGGGATTACAGGTGTGAGCCGCTGTGCCCAGCCTACCTAGTTACTCCTTGTAACCTATTATTTTTCCCAGGAATATGTTAAGACTTAGAGAAAAGTTCTTAACAGAAATAGAAGGGGCTCACAGCAGTGCATTGCTGGAAGTGCTGTTTTCTACTTTTGTCCTCACCTGTGTTTTATACTGAGTATGATTTGCAAACGTATCCAGAATATTTATAATCTGAATTGCAAAAGTGATTCTGTGAAGTATTTTTATGCAGCATAAAAGGAGCATGTGTTTAAAAAGCATCCAAGGCAAATCATTTTTCAGCTAACTGACAGAACAGATAAGCTTTTCAATTTTTTTTTTTTTTTTTTTTTTTTTTTTTTTTTTTTTTTTTTTTTTTTTTTTTTTTTTTTTTTTTTTTTTTTTTTTTGAGATGTAGCCTCACTCTGTTGCCCAGGCTGGAGTATAATAATGCGATCTCGACTCACTGCAACCTCTGCCTACCTCCTGGGTTCAAGCGATTCTCCCACTGCAGCCTCCTGAGTATCTGGGATTACAGGCACACACCATCATTCCTGGCTAACTTTTTTTGTTGTTGTTGTTATAAAGACCATGTTCACCATGCTGGCCAGGCTGCTCTTGAACGCCCCACCTCAGGTGATCTGCCCGCCTTGTCCTTCAAAGTGCTTGGATTACAGGCGTGAGCCACCACACCCGGCCAGTTTTTTGTGTTTTTATAGAGACGGGATTTCACCATGTTAGCCAGGCTGGTCCCAAACTCCTGACCTCGGGTGATCCACTCCCACCTGCCTTGGCCTTCCCAAGTGCTGGGATTACAGGCATGAGCCACCGCACCGAACTTTTTTTTTTTTTTTTTTTTGAGACCATCTCTGTCACCCAGGCTGGAGTGTAGTGGTACAATCACAGCTCAGTGCAGCCTCCATTTCCAAGGCTCAAGTGATCCTTTCACCTCAGTCTCCTGAGTATCTGGGACTACAGGCACAAGTGCCACACCCGGCTAATTTTTGTATTTTTTGTAGATGTGGGTTTTCACCATATTGCCCAGGCTGGTCTCAAACTCCTGAGCTCAAGCTATCTGCCTGTCTCGGCCTTCTAAAGTGCTGAGATTACTGGCATGAGCCACTGCGCCCTGCCACTTTTCACCTTTTTTTTTTTTTTTTTTTTAAAATACAGGGTTTCTCCATGTTGGCCGGGCTGGTCTCGAACTCCTGACCTCAGGTGATCCGCCTGCCTTGGCCCCCCAAAGTGCTGGAATTACAGGCGTAAGCCACCATGCTCAGCCCACTTTTCACCTTTTTTAAGTAACATTAAAAAGTGTATGTAAAGTTTTCCTTCTTAACTATTTTTAAGTGAACAGTTTAGTAGCATTAAGTATATTCACATTGTTGTACAACAAATCTCAAGACTTTTTTCATCTTGAAAAACTGAAACTATATCATTTGAATACCTACTCCGCATTTCTCCCACCCCCATTCAATGATGAGTTGTTCCACCATTCAACTTTCCTGTTTTTATGAGTTTGATTACTTTAGTTACCCCAGTAAATTGATTTGTATAGTATTTGTCCTTTTATCATTGGGTTAGTTTATTCAGTCTAATGTCCTCACAGTTCATCCATGATGTAGTATCAGAATTACCTTCCTTTTAAAGACAGTAATATTCCCGTGTGTATATACTGACTGGATAGTGTTGATGGACATGTGGATTGCTTCCACCTTTTGGCTGTTGTGAATAATGCTGTTATGAACATGGGTATATAGTGCTTTTCAGTTTTTTGTGAAGCTGTGAAGCTTTGCTAAATCATGTGTGAGTTTGTTATTGAGGAAAACGTTACATGAGGTAGAAAACTTGAGCTAATCTCTGCTTTTTTCCTAGTTGGTTAACTGTATAAGCTTAATGGAAGTTACATGACCCCCACCAGTCTTGGGCCTCATTATGTAAGAGAGGAAAAAGCATTTGCAAAGTCATAGTTAAAGCAACTGAAATAATGCATATTAAAGCTCTCTCATTATTTATTTATTTTTTGAGATGGAGTTTTGTTCTTGTCACCCAAGCTGGAGAGCAGTGGAGCGATCTCACCTCCCTGTAACCTCTGCCTCCCGGGTTCAAGCAGTTCTGCTGCCTCAGCCTCCAGAGTAGCTGGGATTACAGGCACCCGCCATCATGCCTGGCTAATTTTTGTATTTGTAGTAGAGATGGGGTTTCACCATGTTGGCTCAGCTTGTCTTAAACCTCTGACCTCAGGTAATCTGCCCGCTTCAGCCTCCCAAAGTGCTGGGATTATAGGCTTGAGCCACTGGGCCTGGCTTTAAAGCTCTTTTGATATTCTTAAAGTGTAAGGAGGCCAGTGACTGCTTATTTAATCAATTTTCATTTGCAATTAAAGAGCAGCAGTTACATTATTTGCTGTTAGAACTTCTGACTTTTTTGACTTTGTTCTTTTGATGAGTTATATCTTTAAAAAAATCTTTGTAATATTAGATGTTGGTATTGTGAATTCATCGACTTATACAATGTCCAAATTTTTAAATTTTAAAAA